TAAATCTAATATAAAACATTATAAATTTGCTTCCTACAAACAAGACTATCTCCAGTTAACAAGTATTACAATAGACGACTATCATTATCYGCGCCAAATCTTAGCAGCTTACTTCTCCAATAAACACAATATACAAATGAGAGATTTTTGATTTTTTATTCGAAAGTCTATGGTCTAGATTCATAGTTAGAAGTAATCGTAATGCCAAAYATAACCTTTTAGGAAGTAGAATTTTAAAACAAAGTAGGGAAATTTTCTTAAAAAGTACTAAGGTAATATATTAACACATTTTAGTTCAGTTTAAATTTAGCTGTTAGCTAACTTATGTTAACGGAATTGTTGTTATTAAATTGTAAAAATTGCAACGATTAAAAGAAATGCTAATTTTCAAAAACGGTAAAAATTGGATGCTGGAATGTAACTTCCATAGACAGTAAAGACCAGGAAGTATTTGGGGAAAAAGAAGAACACAGGCTAGATATCTGTGCTTTCTCTGAATCCATTAAAAGGCAAAGAAAACCTTAGATATGAAAAGTAAATCCTGTTTGATAGCGGAAAAAACAAAAATGATAAGGAAAAACAAAAACGAAAATAACGTACTACAGTCTAAATACATCAGCGAAAGGATAATACAGTTAACGCAACAGCTCCAAAAGAAGATACCGGCACACATAATTAGTGTATATGCCTCAGATGTCACTAAATCACAGAAAGAGAAAGAGGAATTTTACGAACTACCGCAAGCATACCTAGACAGCATACCTAGGCAAGACGAGACTGTAATACTTAGGGACCTCAATGCCAGGATCAGTAACGAGGTAGTAAATAGGATCAAAAATCGTTTCAATGAGGACACCAGGAATGTTAACGGAAACATGATGATTAATTTTCGCGCCATGAATGAGCTACGTATCAACAATACATTCTACTCCTATAAAACTTTTCTTCTTCTTCCTCTTTTTATTAGGACTTTATCCTTTTATAATAGCTTTTTTTATTGTTATTTCTAGGAGTGAATTATTATTTTTATTGAGGGTAGGTTGCTAGCCTCACCCACGAACACCTCTCCTTTTTATTTTGGCTTGGGATGTAAACTGGGCTTAGTCTTGGCCCAGTTTAGTACGGTAATTAGGTAACGGTATTCCTAAGAGGAGTTCCCCTATCCTAGTACTAATCGTTCCCAGTGCTGCTTGACTTAGTGATCGATTCGGAACTAGTGCTGTCAGCGCGGCAAGGCCGTCGGCGACCTCTAAACATCATAACATAAATTCACATTTGAAGACACGAGAGAACAGAAGTCGGTAGTAGAATACTGTTAAAAATTGTCCTGCTGATGTTGCGCTGGAAAAAAAAGTGACTCGCTACAGAGGCTTTAAATTACAAACACAATTTGAGTGCTCCCGCACAGAGATATTGTTCATGCACTGTGAGGTGAGTTGGTTTAGTTTGCCTTACGGTCAGCTATCTGTCGCACGTGATTGGCACTTAACAAGGAGAGATGAGTTAAAATGATGATGCATGAACTGCGTCTTATGTAGATTGAAGCAGCGATGCTAACGCGACTATCGCGCATGCGTGCCAGATGTCGTGAGGAAGATGTTCGCCGAAAGGTGCTGGCCTCATGCAAGCCGATTGCGATATTAATACCGCTAAGCAACAAGGCTGATTCTTAAACAACTACATATTAACAAATACGAACATACATCCCACAAAAGCACAGGGCGTCAGTGAGCTGAGTTTAGCAAACACTGGCACTAATCACAACCTGGTACATGTAAAAATAAGAAAAAACACGACTAACACTAAAACAAAGCTAAAGGAAGAACAAACAACAAAAAAAGTAAACATAGAATTGTTAAGTGATGAATCAATTAAAAACTTGTACCAAAGAAAATTAGAACTAAGAATGGATAGAATCAAAAACATAGAAACGGATGATGTAAAGACATCATGAAAAAGATGAAAAAAACATTAAAGAGGCAACAAAGAAAACTCTTAGCAAGTGAATATGCAACCCTAGCGAAAGTCGGAGTAACACTGCCTGGTTCAAGGACGAATTAAGGACCCTAGCAGAAGAAGAAATGTACGTCTACCTACAGTACCGAAGTAAAACGGTAACATACGACGATTACCGACGAGCTAAAAACAAGGTATACGAAACAATTAGAAAAAAAACGAGATTACTGGAAAATATTCTTGGCTGACATGGAACATTTTCTCTTTACGGAGCACAAAAAAAGTGTGAAACATGCTAAGAAACCGAAAGAAAAATATAAACGAATTCGTGCAGACCGAAAAAATCACAAGTGATGAAAAATTGCCAGCTAAATGAAAGAAGAGCATAATAATTCGCATCATTAAAAAAAGAACTAAGACAGAACCGAAGAATTACCGCGAAATCAGTCTCCTAAATGCAGTTCAGAAGGTGATAAGGAAAATCTTGGCGAAGGTAATAGAACAGACAAAATAGATCGACGGTGGACGCAATATTTATACTACGACAAACAGCTAAAAAACCAAAGAATTCGACAAACCAGTATACATGTGCTTCGTTGATCTTCAGCAAGCATTTAACAAAGTGAAGCTTGATGACGTACTACAGATCCTGAGAGCTAGAGGAGGAAACTGCGGCATAAAACAAATAATAAAGGAACTCAACATCAACAACAAAATGAGGATAAGAACTGAATATATGAAAACGAAGAAGATCCCGATAATAAGAAGAACAGTAAGGGCGACAGTCCAAACTCTTACCTTTTTTACCTGATTGTGAGGTTGTACGGTCGTGCTGATTCTCATTTCCTTACTGTGCACTTCTTCGTGCACGCGCTTTCTCACTCTGTTTGGAAAAAGACTGCTATCTATTTCCACTTCCACGTTATAAGGGCGGAAGGAGTTGACCCAAAATAATACACGTCAAAATGTAATGAAATGAATATTTTATTATTACTCGTTCACAATAGATCAGTGTATCGCTTGGACCTTGTGTAATGATCTGCTCTTAATTTGCTGCTTATTGCTAGTAGTAACCTCGGAATTACTGACTAGCTGAACTTTTGTAATGTATTGAATTCTGCGCGGATCACCTGACCCCGATGTGACCTTGGAGTGGGGGTAGCTGACCAAATACACTACTCTCCAAGTTCTGAGAATTCGAGATAAAATGCAATATGCGATAGCTATGTTAGTTCTTTATAATCTATGAATATTTGCCGATGCAATAAAACCCGGTAGTAATTATTATATATTCTCTGTTGCGTATCCCACGCAACGAGTGAGTAGGGCGAAGCATCTAGGCGCGTACGGCCCTGCCAAGGCGTGAGACGCGTGCGACAAAGCAATATCGTTGTTT